AAACTTTAATAAGCCATATTTGTCTGTATACATATATATTTGTCTGTGCCAGTTATCGTACACATTTTATTTAACTTTCCTCCTTAGATTGTTCTATATCTTATTTAATCAGAAACTTTTCCTCACAATTTATTTTGCTTATATTTTTCTCTATTAATGATCTATTTAATATTGATAAGAATAATACAACTATTCTTCTCTTAACATACTTTCAATGCACTTCAACTGCTTATAGGGTATCTCTATACTAAAAGACTCTTCGCTTAGAATATTCTTTACTTGTGATAGTTGTCATTTTTTTTTTTTTTAGTTGCTGGCAGACAGTCGGCAATCAACAATGAAGTCAGCGATCCAGGAACTTGGTAAACAACAGAATGAAAATCTCCCAAATGAGCAAGGACAGTTTTAGGGGGAAGGGAGTAGTGGGGGGAGGCAAAGTCTGGTGGCCCTGAAGGCATTCGGCCACCTCAACGTCAACGTCAAAAGCCACAAATTAGAGTTCCACTTGCCAGACCCTGAAAATCATCAGAGAAACAAAGCAAAGAAGCAAAGTAGTTTTAAAGTTGCATTGTTTTATGCAGGTGCGAAGGAGGAAACCTAGCGAAGTGAGTGGGGTGAGGGGTGGGGTGGGGTTGGACTTTGAAATTAAAAAGCCACAAGTGAGCAAAGTTTTGGGAGCAAAGGCAAATGATTTTCAAAGTGAGGAGCACTGGGCAAGCAGGTGGCAAGAGGAAAGAAAACAGACATGCAACAACCGGAAAATAATTATAAATTTTAAGTGCAACACGTGAAGCGGTCAAAGGGGAACAGCACAAGAGAGAGAGAGAGAGAAGAGAGGGAGGGAGAGTGAGAGGGAGAAAGAGAGGGCGACATAGATATATAGAAATAAATAAAATTTGATAGATCATATGCTGAGTTTTTCATATCTTTATTCACATCTGTTGCTGTGTGTGTGTGTGAGTGTGTGTGTGTGTGTGTGTGTGTGTGTGTGTGTGTGTGTGTGTGTGTGTGTGTGTGTGTGTGTGTGTGTGTGTGTGTGGAGGGGAGGGGGATACGTGTGAGCTGTACAAGAGATAAACATCACACATTTTGTGGCTTAGAATTTATGCGTACACAGCAAGAAATTGTTGCAAAAAATGTTTAAAAAAAAGTACAAATTTCGCCAAAGAAATATTTTTAAAAATGCTATAAGCAATTTATGTTATTTCTACTTTCACATAATAATCACAAACGTATTGATTTTAACATTTATTCAGTACAAATATTTACTAAAATACTTAATAAAATAAAATAATTATAATATTTATTCAAGCAAGTATGAAATGCATTTGTTTATACAAAATAAAAGATGACATTGAAACAAATCTGAAAATTTCAATTAACATATTTATTTATACACTTTTTTTGCAAGTGTATAAGCTGTGTGTGTTTGTTGTGCTTGTGCGGCTGACTGCAAGACTGACGACTGTGGGAGTAGCTGATGCCAGAGACAGAACTGGCAACAGCAAATGTGTGGACGTCTTTGCGGCTGACTACCATGGCAATTAACAACTTCAACGTTCGTTGCAGTTGCAGTTGCGACTGGGAGTCTGAGACTGAGATTCCGCTAGCTAACCAAACCCTCCCCCACCTGTGGCAGGCGAATCGCATGCGGCCCATGGAAAAAGTGGGCAAATAAAAGGGGGAGTTGGAGTTGGTGGTTAGCTAGATGCATGTGGCAGCTTCTAATGTGCCATTTGGTGGGGCGTTAGGGTGGTGGCAGCAACGGCAGCGTGAAAAATATGCAAGAGAAACACGCCGCAGAGACCAAAATGTAATGGTTAAGATTCATTTTTTATTAAAGTGTAGGTGATGGCTGTTGGGGAAGGGATTGGCAAGGATGGGGAGCGGTTTCAGCATAACAAACAGTGGCATAAATTTTAGCGGCTTTGCAGCGAACAAACGAAACCCAGCAAAAATGTATCCGGCTTGAAGAGCAAAAAAAAAATAAATGTAAAGTAAGCAAAAGATACAAATGTAGCTACGACTGTGTGTGAGCAGAGAACGGCAGCAAAAACCGACAAATATTTATACATAGTGCATAATTTAAGGGGGGGCTTAATTAGGCACCTATCTAAATACATAGAACAGCTCGACAGCCCAGCAAAAGAAAGAAATGGCAATAAAAAGCAGAGGCAAATTGTGGCAAGCGTTAGGGATTATGGTGGCAAGCGCAAACCCAATGCCTGTACACACTCTATTAGCCCGAAAGTATGCAATGGCCAGCAGCGCGTGGAACAATGCGGCAGAAATAAGCTGAAAGGATGTGGCAAGCATAATAAGCATACTAGCAGCAATGCAGCAATGCAGCAAAATTAAAAAATGGGGGAAAAAAGAAATAGAACAACTTTTCCACTGCACGCAGCTACACGAGAAGATACCCTGTAACAATCATTTGCAGCTTAAACACCTTGATGATTCAGTTTTCACTCAAATTTTAAAGTTGAATACGCTGTTCACAGTTTGAGCTGCACTGGAATTGGTTTAAGAACTCAAAGCTGCCAGCTTTAATTAAATTTAGCGACTCGAGCAAACATCCGAAAGAGAGCAACAAGGGTGGTTAAGGTGCTGGGGCAGGGGCAGGGTGCAAGGGAGTGGCACTTTAAGTTTCAACCTAGTTTGCCAGCTGGCTAAACGGCTTCCACGACCCGCATACAAAACTGTTTGAAAAGGCGGCTCGTCTCGTGGCAACGTCTTAGGTTTTGTATGGAATGTATGTATGTATGAAGTGCCTGTGTGTCCCGCATTTTGTTGCACAAGGGAAAGGGAGGCAGATTGCAGCAGCAGCAGCAGCAGCAGCAGCAGTACACAGGAGTGCAAACAGAAGCAAGAAGGCACAAGAAGAGCATGCGGCTAGTTTAGCAGCAGTTGAGAAATCTTTTGATGTAAAAGTTTGCAACGAAATATTCTTGCGAAAACTAAATTAAAATGTGAAAAGATGTGGAAGCGAATAGCTGCCGGGACTAACAAAGGGCGCCCAAAGGGAAAGTGGAAGAAATTCTTAGTTGAGCAGAGGAGCAGTGCCAACAACGATATAATTATCAAGTGCATTTTGTTAGTGGCTAAACTTGAATGCCAGTTGCTTGGATATACCACAAACTATCATTTTACAATAAACAACATTACGTAAAACTTATGAAGGGTGTCATACTTTTTGAACTTAAACCTAAAAGAGTTATTATAACTTTAAACATTTTTAAATTGAATTCTTTTTTTCTAAGTATTGTTTAAGTATTTTTCGAAAGTTAGTTTTATTGATAAAATGGTACAAAATGTGTTAAGCGTGTTATATTTTACATGTTGTGTTATATTATAAAAATACATCTGGATTTAATTGAAATTCCTTTTATGCTGATACTGATTTTTAAAAGGCAACCAAATTGAATGCAGTAAAAGAAAAACCAGCCACTTTGCAGCGCCCTCTTGTGCCAGCTGAGCACAATATGAACTTGCATTCACAAACGCTAGGTAACGTCGCCAAGCAGCGCCCTCTATAAGCTTAAACGGCAAGCAAGTTTGAACAGTTGAGCACGTACGATAGAGGGCGCCACAGTGCAATAGCGTCCTCTCGTAACTGTTTGGCTAACTATCAAACATTTTGGGAACACTTGAACTGCTGCGTGGCGCTCCCTAGCGACTGTTGTGTGCACTCGGAGCAACATTTTCTAAACTGTACCCAGGCAAGGCAACAAATCGGCTCGCTGTCAAATTGCAATTGCGAAAACCGCAACTAATTGCGAAATTTCAAAAATGTATTAATAAAAACCAATAAAAGCCAAAAGGCCACACCCAACAAAAAAAAAAGCAGCTGGCAAAAGCAGCTGAAAGTGTTTAAAAAATCAAAACTGGTAAAGGCAAAAACATAAACGTAAAAGTAATCCATGCCAGTTGGGCATTGAGCACAAACTCTTGACACCCGCAACACACTCAAATACACACATCCGCAACACAACACATAAACACACAGACACAGACAGTGTGTGTTTTGGGAATAACTTGTGTGCCTATTAAACTCCCAACGACAAACCAGCAACAAGCAACAAGCAACAATGGCTGGCAGATTATGTCAAATTATATGGTTTAGGTTTTTATTTTGAAAAGGTGCGGTTCTGAATTGGCAGATTTGTTACTTGCATGCCAAATGAGCATTCCCTCGACCATTTCATTCATTCAATCATTTCTTCACTATTTCAGTGGTAATGCTTTATTGTGCCATTTGCCACTTTGATGACCCCCCAGTAAACATTTTTACTACTTTCGCTGCAACTGAACTCAGATTTTTATGGGTCAGCACCACAGCCTTAGTTTGATTATTGAAGATGCCTCTCTGTCTATCTATCTGTATGTCTGTCTGTCTGTCTGTCTGTCTGTCTGCATAGCTGGCTGCAAACATATGTCCAGGGACAATGCAACGCCTTTTGTCCCAGGTCAGCAGCCCCGAACAGCTTGAACTGAGAGAGAGACAGAGAGAGATAGACAGGGTAGGAAGAAAGGAAGGAGTTGCTGGAAGATAACACAGTCTAACTGATTAAAGTCAAGCTGATCATATCGAACTTTATATATTAGTTCTCAAGATTAAAAATGATCAAGAATTCTTTAAGATAGTTGGGTATTTTTTCAATGTTGCCAAAAGTTTCTCTATCTACAAAATGTTAGCACCTTACTTAGAGTCGGAATATGTTACTTTAGAAATATATCATATACATATAAAGAAACAAAAACTCAGCATGATAAAGAAATATTTAAGTTTCTTCATGTGACTGACTGGTTTGGATCACAGCTTAAAATCTTCGATCAAGAATTGATATTCAATAAATGGGTTCCTCTTTTAGTGCATAACAGATTTGAAGACATACGAACAATTCGCATTAAAAGACTTTAATGAGACGAGGGAAACCCCAAGTTTATATCTATAGATGATGTCATTATGCATAGATGTTAATTTTGAGACGCCAACTCACCTGTGAGAAGTATGCTGGTAGAACACAGCGCTGATCATCTAATCTTGAGCACTGCACACGCTCCAGCAGCTCAAAGAGATCATGTGTGGCACCTCGCAATCTTTCCGGACTGTGGGTGACGCTGCCCGTAGAGCCGGCATTGCCGGGCTGTTGCTTCTGGGTACCCGCCATGAAGGCATGCTGACGTCTGCAACGAGAGAAAGAGAGGGAGGGAGAAAGGGAGAATTGGTCAGTGTTTGGGTTAAAGACAAGATCACAAACTTCCTGTGTTGGTTAATAATAATGCACGCAAAAAGCTAATCACAACCACTTTTTTTTGTTGTGTTGCATGTGCCCAGCGAAACGAAGCGAAGACTCAATTTGCACTTGGCAATGTCGCATAGCTGAACATGGCCAAGAGCAGGCCAGGTGAGTGCGTCATGCAATCTCTTCATGCTTCAGCGGCAAGTCCAAGTGCAACTCTCGTAAATATTCAATTGACTGCACAAACTCGAGTGGTATTCAAACCCCTCGCCTTGGTTTCGCATTTATGCGACTTTATGGGAACATGTCTGGGAAGTGGCCACTAGAGCCAGTCACTTGCAAGCACCGAGGTTAACCAAGTGATCACCATCAAGAAGGGACGTTTCGAGTGCTAACTGAAGAAATGGTGAATAGTAGAACAACAATTGACAGCCGACAGCCATAGAAAGTCAAGCAGAATGTTTAAGCGATCAAAGAAGTCAAGCTTGACAATTCAAAATATGGGCAAAGGAATGGATAAGGACAATAAGAAACTGAAAGGGTCTAAAAGTCAATCAAGGAATATATGTAGAACAATAAACCTAAGCTGGAATAAGAATGGAAAGGGACTAAATTTCAAAGAGGAATAGTACCAAAGATTAAAGAAGTTATTTAAGAGAAGTAATTAAAACTGTAGAGTTCTATACTCTATACAGTGAACGGAATAATAATAATCAATATGAAACATGGACAATATGGATTAAGAGAGCTAGCAACTTCAAACTTAAGAGGAGGAATTCTATATAAAAATTGATATTTATGGCAGATATTAATTAAGCAAAATATATGGTGTAAACCCGACTTTTTGGCAATGCGTTGATCATCGTCAAAGGCGGAAGTAAACTTTCCAATAGGGAACAATTGCAATCAAAGCTCAAGGATTCTTAATTCACATCTGTTTTATTACTGCTGCTATTAAGCAGTCAAGAGCTGCTGAAGGATTTTTGTTTTTGGTTTTTGGTTTTTGGTTGGTCTGTGAAAATTGTTAGAGTTGAGTGGAACATTTCTCAAGTTCTTAAGTTGCGTTCACGCATCAGGGAATAAAAAAAAAAAATTATGAGTGCCACTTGAGTATTTCATATTTCACATTTTTTTCTTTCATTTTTTTTTGTATTGCTTCTGTTATTATTCATTTTTGTTGTCACTTGTGCAATGTTTTATATTATTATTCTTCTTCTTTTTTTTTTTTTTGGCCAGCTTGTTCTCATTTGTATTTCAGTGAGTTCATCTTTTTTTGGGTTTTGCTCAAGTTTTCTTGTCGCAGCAGTCGCCACTTTGTTGACACACAAACAACAGCAACAACGAAAACAGGAGAAAAGTGCGAAAGAGAGATAAGAACTGACGAGAGAGAGAGAGAGATAGAGAGAGAGTGAGCAGAGTTCAGCTGGCCAAGGCGTAATGTTGAGGATGTTTTTGTTCCTGTTGTTGTTTACTTTGATGTTGCTGCTGTTGCTGTTGCTGCTGTTGCTGCTGCTGTTGCTGGTACGTGTGTGCAGCTGCTGTTGCTCCACATTCGAAAAACGTAATAAAAACAACAACAATTGCCCACAGTTGTTATTTTTAAAGAATGTTTGTTGCTGCTACTCCTCACAGTGCCTACGAATAAGCAGCTCCACGGCTGCCCATAAATTAACACCTACAGAAAGTGGCTGTGCTCGAGTCGGAGTTGGCACACATAAAATGATGACAGTTATGGGAGAAGGATATCAAAAACAAGCCAACATGCAACAGGACTGTCTGCCACATGCATCATCAGCTCTAATCATTGCCTGCAACAGCAACAGCAGCGACAACGGCAACAATAACAAACTCTGAGTGCTGATAGTTTTAAAGTGCGCCATGCAAAGTGCCAGAGAAAGTGGATGGAATGATGATGATATACAAACATATGCATATACTTAAATAACTAACCCGTTGTTGGGTAATACGAGAAGTTTTATGTAGCAGTAGCGACAGCTGTCAGCCGTATATAGTATCAAATATATTGACACTCATAAACACTTTTCTATTTAATGTCAAAAATATTATGGTCTCTGCACTTTTACACATTTTGTTTCTCTTCAAAACGATAAACTGAATTTATTTAAATTGTTCGTCTACAAACTAAGTTCATTTAACGAATTATATTTCTATTTCTGCAATAAAAATTGTTATTGCTTTAACTAAAAATCCAATAAACTCAAAAATATATGTATAAACCACAATCTGACACTCTAATAAATACATTTTTAAGCACTTTAACTCAATTTTCTGCCTGGCAAAACACATTCAATAATTGAATTGAAGCCAGCTCCTCCCATTTTCACATTTGTCAAACATTGGTGTATTTTTAGTGCTTTTCACAAGTCAATGCAACAATATTGTTGTGCACAGCTAGTTCAGAACCAATTTTTATTGCATTTTTATGACATTTTTTGCACATGATTTGTCGCTGTAAAATCTTTCGCAAAAATCAAAATAGAAATCGAAATAAAAATAAAAATATCAAACATAAAATCCACATAAAAATGTTGTCCTTTACAAGCAATAATAAAAATCATAAAAATATGTGGCATCAACACGAGGAGAGACTGCGGGGTGGTTGTTGAGCATCTGAGTCAAGGTAATTCAACAAAACTGCAACGAGCAAAAGGCAAAAAAAACAACATTGCAGAGATTGATGATGGGTTAGGTTTAGTCAAGTTCTTTGAGCTGATGCTGCGCTGATAGCGCTGTCTTTTTGGTTCTTGAAGAGAAATGCTGTTGCCACCCACAAGAAATAAAACACGCTCACTTCCTGTTGCGGTTGCGCCTGCGTCTAACTGTGCCATTGTTTAAAATCAACTGCGGAGTGGGGCAGAGTTGGCACGCCCACTTAATTAAAAGCTATTACAAGCATACAAAGTGCTAATATTTCCTCAGTTAGAGCTTTGCTATATATTTTTTTTTATGTTCCACACCAAAAAGTGTTCATTAAATGCAAATTTATGTCAACCACCCAAGCGAGTCAGCACAGCTATCCTACTCCTACTCCCTACGACCCTTCCGCTCCGGCCAAGAGCACCCTCTCCCCTTAACTCTACCTTCGCTTAGAACCCAACTCATTTGGCATGCGCGGCACATTGCGCGTCTGAAAGAAAAAAGATAAAGTTTTGTGGCTGCCGCGTCGGGAAAATGCAAAAGAAAAACAATTACAACAACAATAACAAATAAAACGGGACGTGGTGACGACGGCGCTGACAGTTGTGGGGAAGGAGTAAGATATATGACCTGTTATGCAGCACTTAATCAGAGGCCCCAAAACGCCAAAACAGAACCCAATACACAACCTGGGATTGGGTTTAAGGCTTGAGGTATTTTTTTCTCTTTTTTTTTTTCTTGATTCCCAACTGCGTGGGAAACACTTGTACCCACAATAAAAGAGAATTAGTCAGAGATAGACACAGAGAGACAGAGAGAGATAGAGAGGAAGAGAGTGTCCCAGCGGAAGAAGAGATGCTTTACTAGTTTTTTTTTCTTCTTTTTTTTTTGAATATGTCCCCTGGCGCTAATTAGTAAGCAAGTGATGCAGGCTGCAATACTGACTAGTTTGTGCCGTTTGCCGGTGAGAAATTACAGGAAGTGTCCAAGGAACAAAAAAGAAAAAAAAAACAATAGAAAATAAAATAAAAATCAAGTCCCAAAGGACAAAAAGGACTCACACACACACAGAGACAGATAGACCAAGCACACACTTGGTTTGCTAATGGGTCAGCCGGCGACTGTTTTCGCTCACTCTTTGGAAACTGGAGCGCAAACTGATAATATCTAAAAAAAAAAGAAACACAGGCAAGGACATGGAAAGTACTGCAGTGCGATGCACTGCGGCGATAAGTGAAAAACCCGTAACTGAACAGCGACGGCGACATGACACGTTAAAGGATATGCGAGCAAAAAGTCAAAGCGAGACAGTTTGAGGTCGTCCCGTGTGGACCCCTGGGCCATAATTAATAGCATAATTGCAGCGTGTAAAGTCAGCCAGCGGCAGGATATGTATAAATTTATAGGAAAACTACGTGAAAATTACAACAATTATGCGAAGGAAATGCGCTATGCCAATGCCAATATGTGCATGTACAGAGTTATGATGAATGATGATGATAAAGGAATCGCCAGCAGCAGCAGCAGCAGCAGCGGCGAGCGAGAGAAAGTTGGGAAAGTCTGCTCGGCGGAAATGTGCTAAGGGATAAGGGCGAAAGAAACAATGAAAAGAAAGGGGCAGGCAAGTTTTTTTTTCAATTTTTTTTGGGGTGGGATGAGTGACTCATTTTGTATATTGTGCTTAAGAAGTCGCGACGGCTTCCGCGCCGCATGAATTGTCATTAAAATTAGTTCCAACCATCGCGACGGCCTCAAAATTCATTCGAAATATCTGACTCAGATACAGCCGCACCGAGAGATTCGCGCATTGTGTGCCCAAGTTTTTCTCATTTCCGTTCTCGTTCTCGTTTTCGGTGTGTGTGTGTGGAAAAACTTGTCTCTGCCCAGTTTTCCTCTTGTGTGCAGCAGCAACGGACATCCTTTGAGGTAAACGTCTTGAAGGGGTTGCTCCTTAGCACAACTCGTTTCCCGCTTTTCCGCTTTCCCCCTTTCGTTCGGCCTCACAACAAAATGCAACACGTTCCAAATGCAAAAAGGAAAAGCTACGCGACACTTCAAGCAAACAAGGCACCCTTTTCCTTTTTTGCCACTACAGTGATCCCTTTGGCAGAGAGGTACAGGCAACGCATCTATTGCTCGTAAATTAGCCACAAATTTGCCGGAAAAGTTGGCGCTGTCTACTTTTATTGGTCATTTGCATAATTTCGATCGAGTCTTTGTACGATTTTTCTTTTTGGGCTAAAAATTACACAATTTATACAGTATAACACCCAAAAAGGAACTTGT